TTTTTATTGTGAATTGAGTGACAGTTTACATGGGAGAATATCAGTTTTACACTCATTCTATTGTGTTTATTGACTATGCAAAGGCTTTTGATTGTTTGGATCATAACATGCTAGGAGCAACATTGTGAATTAAGAGTATTCCTGAAAACTTAATTGTGCTCATGAGGAATCTGTACATGGACCAAGAGGCAGTTGTTCAAACAGAATATCGGAACACTGAATGGTTTAAAATTAAGAAAGGTGTGCGACAGGGTTGTTGTTTTTTCACCATAGTTAGTCAAACTTATTGCTGAGCAAATAATATGAGAAGCTGGGTTATATGAATAAAAATGTGGCATTGGGATTGGAGGAAGACTCATTAACAACCTGGGATATGCAGTTGATAAAAGTTTGCTTACTGAAAGTGAAGAAGACTTAAAATATTTACTGATGAAGATCAAAGAACACAGCCTTCAGCATGGATTGCATCTCAATGTCAAGAAAATAAAAATCCTCACCACTGGACCAATAAACAACATTCTTAACGATGGAGAAATGATTGAAGTTGTCAAGGACTTCATTCTTCTTGGATCAACTATCAACACTCATGGAAACAACAGTCAAGAAATCAAACAATGTATTGCATTAGGCAAATCTGCAGCACAAGCACTTTTTAAATTGTTGAAGAGCAAAGATGTTAGCTTGAGGACTAAGGTGCGGCTGACCCAAGCCATGGTATTTTCAATAACCTCATATACACATGAAAGTGGGACAGTGAACTAAGAAGACCATAGAAGAATTGATGCTTTTGAGTTATGGTGTTGGAGAAGAATATTGAAAATTCCATGGGCTGCCAGTAGAACCAACATATCTGTGTTGGAAGAAGTGCAACCAGAGTGCTCATTGGAGTATAGGATTGCCAAATGTCATCTCTCATATTTCAGACATATAGTCATGAGTGAACAGTTGCTGGAAAAGGATATCAGGTTTAGTAAGGTGGAGGGTCAGAGAAAAAGAGGAAGACACCCAATGAATTGATTGGCAAAGTGACAGCATCATTGGCTCAAGCATAGTAACAATTGTGAGGTTCACCCAGGACTGGGTAGTGTTTCGTTCTTTGGTACACAGTGTCACTATGAGTTGTTACTGACTACAACTACTACTATTGTATTTCATTTCATTCCAGTGATTACAATCCATGGTGTTCAACAGTATTTGCTTCTATTTCTTCTGTTTTTGTTTGTTTGTTAGTTTTTGTTTGTTTGTTTGGATGTACACAAAAAAACTCAGGAATATATAATCATTTAAACAACCAAAGGGCACATTCTGCAAGCCTTCCTCCTAGGCAACAGCAAAAAGCCTTTCTCTTTCCATGAGGCTAGAGTCCTCAGTTGCTCTATCTCTCCGTGTTATCATCTCTACTTCCATCTCTGGTGCTTCTCTGGACAAATTCCCACATTCCACTCATGCTCTTCTCCCTTGATGGTCCTAGGGTCCTCTGTTCCTGGAATGTAAGACTAACTACTCCACATTTTTTTTTTACAAAACTTTCTACTTTTACAATTGTGCCAATCACAATTAGTCATTATAAAAATTACTCACTATTGTGTCATGAGGATCATATCCCCATCTCCTTTTACCAGACCCATCTAGACAAGATGAAAATTATTCACTGGGAAGTCTACCTTCTACCACACACTCTGAAACTAAACTCCCTTCTGAAAACTTGTAAGACAGTCACTTTGTGCCTTTATAACACCCCACCCCATTTTAGGTAGCCAGTGTCTAAGTTGTCTGTCCTTGGTGGTTGTGGTTATGTGCCATGGATTTGGTTCTACCTCATAGCAAAGCTGCACTGGGTTTCTGAGTATGTAAAACTTTACAGAAGCAGAAAGTCCCTATCAACCCAGTATACAGAGAGGATAGGATTGATACTTGATGTGAAGATTCCTTCCCTCTCAGGTGGTATTTTGACTACTATATCCATAAGTTAAGGCCATATTCATCAAATTGCAGCAATTTACACTTGTTTCCTGTATCAAAAACACTTTTTTTTTTTTTTTTATTTTCCTGTAATTAAGGGATATTCTCTGCTTATCCATTCTGTTATTCTCTGTCTCTTGACTGGTGCATTTAATAAACTGACATTTCGTGTGTTGTTGTTGTTGTTACTAGATCAAGTCAATACTGACTCATAGTGACCCCATGCACAACAGAATGAAATACCGCCCTGTTCTGGGTCAGCCTCACAGTCACTGTTACCCTTGAGTCCATCACTGGCAACATTGTGCCAATGGACTCATTGGAGGTCTGACTTTTTCTCTCTGACCCTCCATTTTAAAAAGCACAATATGCATCTCCAGTGACTGGTCTCTTCTGATATCCAGCATTATTTCTATCACCAAGGCCATATTTTCTAACTATTGATCCTTCTTCTTTGTTTCCAATATTTGCATTCCAATCAATGGTAATGATCAATACATCTTGATTACATGTTTCCTTAATTTCAGACTGCATATGTTGATAGAATTAATTAATTTCACGAACACTTGCTTTAGTGGTTGGTGTGTAAATTTCAATAATAGTGTTACTAACTGACACGTACATATTATCATTTCACAGGCAGCATTATGCTTCAAGATAGTTCTTGAAATATTCTTTTGATGACGAATGAAGTGTCATATTTCCAGAAATTGTCATACCTGGCATAGTAAATCTTATGATTATGAGATGTAAAATGGTCAACACCAATCGATTTCAACCGAAGTTTTATACATCCCATTTAATTTTTGAGAACTTCATATTTTCCTAGATTCATACTTCATACTTTCCATGTTCCAATTATTAATGGATGTTTACAGCTGATATTCTTCATTTTGAGTTGTGCCCCAGCAGCTAATAAAGGTCTCAGAAGCTTTACTTCATTCTTGTTTTCATAGCCAGCTCTACTTTTAAAAGGCAGCTCTTCACCAGACATAGCAGCTTGTCTCTTGGCACTACGTCTGTCAATATTTCAGTCATAATATTTTCATCTTCTGGTACTATATCTGACAATGTTCTGCTGCTATTAATAAACTTTTAGGGGCTAAACATTCAGAAAAAAATTTGTCTTTTCTCAGCTGAAACCTGTCCACCATGGGTGACCCTTCTGGTATTTTAAGTGTCTGTGCCATAGCTTCCAGCATCACAGTAACACACAAGCCACCACAGTGCGACAAACTGAGAGACGAGTGCTTTCATTGTTTTTGTTGTTGTTCTTGTTTATTCTTTCTCCTTGACTTTCTTTCTACAGCTTTCTAATCTTTCTAACTCACCTTTCACTTTTCTTTCTTTTTCTGCTTGTCTTTTCTAATAGTTACTGCTTCTTTCTTTCTTCTTTTGTTTCTTTAATACCTCTCTTTCTCTTTTTAAGTACTCTTTAGTGTCTTTCTCTTTTATTAACTCTTCCAACTAATTCAGTAAAATGGAAAGATATCAGAGAGTAGTAAAACACACATGCACACAAAAAAAGAGGAATTTTTAAAAAGGAAAGAAGCAGGAGTGGTTAAGAAAGAAAAGTGGGGGGCAGGGGGAAGAAAGCAGAAAAAAGTGAAAGGGAAAATAGAATGGAGAGAAAGTAAGAGAAAAAAGATGAGGGAGAAAAAAGAAAGATAGAAGGAAATATTTTCTTTAACTGGGTTCGTAGCAGACCCAGAAAGAAGAAAATTCTGGTCTTTCCTGTCAGCCAAGGACCTAAATTCATATATGATAATACTCAACCCTTAATGGAGTTCCTGTAGGGTTACATTTTGTCTGTTTTAGGCACCCAATCCCAAAGTAGTTCTTGCAGACTTCAAAGCAGCTGGGGAATCAGGGTATTTTCATCCCTTTGGGGGGCTTGAATGTGAATCCCACTAGTTCAGGGCTGAACAGAATGATTTCTGCAGGTCTGAATTAGGTTGCAACTGATTCTAGGCACCAGGGTTGGTGCTGCTAGCTCCCCATACACTTTGATACAAAGTCAGCAATCCAGAGAGCAGGTATTTCCCTGAGAGTGTATGCAGCTGAGGGCCAGCCACACCTCTGGTCACCAGGGTAATATGGGCTATGAGAGAAAAAGAAATTCACCTCTTTCTCTCTACCAGTCAGCCCTATACCTCTGTGCTACCTACTGCCCTCTTCTCTTTAGAGTCACCCACAGAAGCTCAAGATGCCCACATCATGGCTACTTGACTATGGCCAGCTGGCACAGATCTCCAATCTCTCATTCTCTCCTCCCCATCCCACAACACCCACACATATGTTGAGCTGCTTCTCTTAGTGAGAGCTAGTCCAAGGCTAGCCAGGGCCAACTCTAAAGACTTGGGGCAGGGCCAGTGTGAACAGGTCAATGCAGACAGCTCTCCCTTCCTTTAATGGGGCCCACAGCCACTGCACTCATCTCAATGGAGCCCCAACCTCTGGGAGATCAGGAGCTTCCCTGGGGTGTACGTAGGTGGGGGCCAGCCTCACCTGTGGTCACCAAGAGAGTGTGGAGAACAAGGAAAGAAAACAAATTTGCACCATTATCTCTGCAAGTCGCAGGTATGTTTCAACAACACATTCATGTTTTCTTGTCAATGAAATTACTCACAAACGTTCAAGATTGTTGGTTGAAGTAGGTCAGCAATCTGTGCATTTTTTGCCCCACCTGCTCAGCTCTCTCATCTAGCAAGCTTTCAGTGCACTTCTCTATCCCTTCATCTGAAGCTCAGAGTTCCAGGACTGTGATCTGCATCTCTTTATTTTGGTTTTCTGTATCTTTGCTGTAGAGGGTCCATACAGCTTTTTGGCCTAGTCAGCCATCTTGCCGCCTCCCCCTAATGTTATTAATTTTAATGTTTAATGTAAAACAAACACACAAACAAACAAAAACCCTTGAACAAATTTTAAAGTCTACACAGCGAATTTCAAAAGAGGAGAGTGAGAAATGGAAGACAGGATTCTACATTCACTAGTAGACATCAATTCTGAGTTTATAAGAAGATTTTTTATCTTTACAGGTACAATCTGGGCTCAGCAGATATTGAGTCTGATTTATTTTGAGGAACATCGTAACAGAACTGATAATGTGGAAACAGTGGATAGAGCTCCTTTCTTTGAGTATAATGCACGAAAAATGGACTTCCACGCTCGCCCATCTCCTCGTCTCTTTACTTCTCACCTCCCGTATTATTTGGCTCCAAAAGGTCTTAAGAACAAAAAAGCTAAAGTATGTTATGGAAATAGCTTGTGGACTTTTCCCCCAGATGTGTCTTGTTTACTCAAAGTGTCTATTGTACTGATACTGTCTAACATAATTAAAAAATATATATGTAATTAAAAGTATATACATACAGAGGCAGAGACAATGACGGTGGAGCGATGGAGCAGTTGGGGACTTGAGATCAACAGAGGGAGAGGGGCTGTGTGCTGACAACAGGCGTTGGGAGGGGAGGGAGGGGGACAGGCTTGCAGGGTGTACCCTTCGGTTGGTTGATGAAGCATTGAGGGGATTGTAACCATGGCATTGAAATGATATATATACATATGATAGAATGAATATAAAACTAATATTCTCCCATGTAAACTATCACATAATTCACAATAAAACATTTTTGGAAAAAAAAAAGTATATAAATACATTCGTGTCAGTATGCATGCTGGTTTTAAATGTGATTATATAGGTAAAAAACGTTCATGTAAATCTACAAACCGCCATTCTGATAGCATTTTATTGCGAGCTATATATAAAAAAGAGACCAGGTGTGTCACTATGGGATCAACACTGGATTGCTAACAACATGGTTGGTGTTTCAAACCCAGCTTGTGCTCCTTGAAAACTTGATACAGGGC